CATTTGAGTTTTTATTGTAAGAATCCTGGTATTCATTTTCCTATAAATAGGATGGGCAACCTGACTAATTGGCAGCTGTTGGACTCTTGCTGCCTTGAGCAAAGAGACACTCAAACAACTGGTAGATGAACCTTGCACCAACGCCAGCTGTTTTGAAGACTTCGCAGATGCCTGGGAAAAAACTCACAAGGTCCACAGCTGTGGCTCTGAGTCCTGAGGGCACAGCCTCAGCCAGGACTGTGTGGAAGGGTTCATTCCAAACTTATTTTGCTATCAAGCATCGAAGGTGACACTGAAACCACTTCCACCAAGGCCAGAGAAGCACATTTTCCCAGCAGCCTAGCTGAGGGATTGTTGTGATTGGTGCAAAAGGGAAAACACAATGATTAGTACAAACACACACTTTCATTTACATGCAAAGTGTGCTGATTGGTGCAAACACAAACCTTAATTTACATGTGAGGTGTCTCCTGATTGGTCTAAATACCCCTCTTGACTGTATGAAAAAGTTGCTAAGACTCACTTAGTGAGTGGGCTGGGAGAGCCTGTGCTGCCAGCCCTGCCAGCCTGTGCTCTAGCCTAATAAACGGCTTCCCTTAAGGAAGGGACAGCACAAAACAGCAGCAAGCTGCAGCAGCTACAGAGGAGCAGACAACCTGCTGCCTGGCAGAGACAGCCAGGGCAGGCATAGGGGAGGTGGCAGTCAGTGCCTAAGAGAATGGAAGGCTGGGAGCAAAGGAGGATAGAGCCTAAATATAGAGACTTAAGTCTCTGGGAGAGTTCCAGAGCTGCCAAGCCTCTAAGGCCAAGGGTCTCAGACACTCAAGGCCTGGGAGCCATGACACAGGCTGCTGTCAAGGGCTGAAGAATCACGATGTCTGGACCTGCCCACAAGCTTCAATGCAAGGGTTAAGGAAGCTGGATGACTTCTGCAGGCCTAAGGGTCCGATGCCAAGGGCCTGCAGGACAAGCGTGACACTAGAGGGCTCCATGTGCCCTGCTCCTCCTTCTCCTCCCATCACTCAACGCTGTCCAACACAGAATACACAAAGCCTCCAGAGACCACTTGAAGAGCTTCTCCTTGCCCGCCCATGACCTCTCTCTGGGTAGAGCAGAAGGTCACTTTCAGCTGATTGGTAGCATCACATTTTGCAGCATATTCTAGGTGCTGACAGGTAAAAGAAAACTGCTAGAACCTTCCCTACCAGTGTCCAGCGGATGCTCATGACCGCCCGAGCATGCTCTTCCTGAGCAGGTGGGCCCTCCAGTCACACTCCTATCCTCTGTCCCTCAGACTCTCACCCTTCTGTCTTCTGAGTTCTCGACTGGTCGACTTCTTACTAGTGGGCAGTTAACCAGTGTCTTAACCAGGCTCGGATTTATCATTGCCGTCAACTGTAGCACCACTCTGGGCAAACAGTATAAGCCGTATAATGCAAGCAAAACATTTGGATAAATCCTCATTTAACATAAAATGTAAAATGTGTAGTGAAGACATTTTATAATGAGACAGTAAGTATTACCGACTGATGGAAAGACTGCACCATTTCTAATTATGATTTTATTTTTTAAAATGTTTATTTTGTGTGTGTGTGTGTGTTTGTGTGTGTGTGTGCCTGGGCACGCACGTGTGTGCGCATACACGCACATGCATGCATGTCCATCTACAGAGACCAGAGGTGTTTGATCCCCCGGAATCAGAATTCCAGGCAACTGTGAGTCACAAATGTGGTTGCTGGGAACTGAACCTGGGTCCTCTGGAAGAGCAGTACACACTCTTAACCACTGAGCCATCTCTCCAGTCCCTTTGTTTTCTACTTTTGTAGATGTAAACACAATAGAAAACTGTCCGTGTTGATGAATAGTTGGGAATAGAAAGTTTAATTATAGAAATGTCACTCAGTTCTTTAAGATCCTCAGTTGGTACTAGAAAGGAATGGTAAGGAATTTATCAGCAAAATTACTATTAATGCTGACAGATTATATCCAGTTAAGTTCTGCAGTTAGGAGAAAAGCAAACACACGGGCAGCCCCTGACTTCGAAATGAATGGTACTGAGCTATTGACAAGGCTGACTTCAATAGTACTGACAGCAATGTTTTGCAATATGCCTTCGTGTTAGACCCTGCAGTTCATCACCTCCAGAGCAGGGACCATAGCCCAATGAGAGAAAACGACATAAAATGAAGGGTGGCTGCAGGTCAGACCAGGGGCACATTCCCAAACCGATCAGCTCCTAGAGAGAGCTGAGACCTGGGAGAGGTCTTTGTAGAAGCCCACACATCTGTGTACTTCTGTGGCCAAAGAGGAGTGTGGACTTGTGGAACTCACGCTGGGCCATGGCCTCTTCAAGCCTTGCTCAACAGCCCTTATTTGTGCTCCACGTGCTGTGGATTTTAAGGAAAGGTTCAGAGTTGAGCCCAGCTGTGAGCTGGAGGCCATTGGCTCCTGTCCACCAGTCAGAGTTGTCTAGGCTGGCAATACCGCAGAGGCGCACGCTGTGTGTCAAGGCGAGGCCAGAGGGGTCCACCTGCCTCAGACGTATGAGGAGGCCTCTCCTGAGGCTCACACCCTGACTCTAGAACCTGGGTTTTGCTTTTGAGAAGTAAGATCAGTTTTCTGACACCAAGAAGCAAAGAAGTTCAGCATCTAGGTTCTGCAAGCTCTCCGAAGAGGCCAATGGAGGCCTAATTCAGGGGCCTGAAACCAGCGGGGATCTTACAGTAAGGTTTAAAATCAAGCTTAGATGGGGTTGTGGAGCCTATGCTCCTCCTGTGTCTTGTTGGGGCCTCAGACAAGTGGCTTACCTTCTCTAGGCCTCACAGTGGGACACACCAGGGATTGAGGAATGTCCCAATCTCTCCCCACTAATAGGCTCCGAGTCAAATGATGTGTGCCTCTACGGTGAGGGCTCTAGCCCCTCTTCCCTTCTGTTTACATAGCACAGAAGAGATGTACTGACTACTACATGGTGGCTGTGCTCTCAGCTTGGCAGAGTACATGTGTACAGTGCTACCCAACATCATAGAGGAACCCTAGCCCATCCTTGGCTAGCATATTTACACCAAAGAAATCGGCAGACACTATACATCAGAGTTCCCACCCTGGAGGCCAAGCATTTGCCAACACACTCCTGGGTATAAGTATTAAAATAAATTATTCAAAGACTGACAATGGCCAGTCCATTTCAAGACTTGCTACAGGACATGGAATGCCCTTAGTCTCCAAAGGCTAGTGACTCAGACATCTCTCCAGAGAAAGCCCCTTCTGAACCGACCTCTGTGAGTCTGTACCCTGATGATTCAAGGAAGCAGCCACTGAAGCCACCAGTCTCACCCATGGTCTCCTCCAAGCCTCTTTCACATTGCAGAACTCCTTAGGATGTAGTGCGGACAGACACACGGACACACACACACACACACACACACACACACACACACACAGGTTCTCTCCCTTCGGTCTCAGGATGGCCACTGTCCCCATGTCATATCCTATCACATGACCAGCCTCCTTAGACCTCGAGGAGCACCCATACATTTCAAGGCTGTCATGTTCAGTCCCTCATAAAGAACTCTTAAAAACTCTATGGGGGTGGGTGAGTCAGCACAGTGGTAAAGACACTTGCGGCCAAGCCTGGCGACCTGAGTTCAAGTCCCAGGGTTCACATGCTGGAAGAGGAGCACCAATTCCTGCATGTTGTTTCTGGGCCCCACACTTACGTCACGGCATGCATGTGTGTGCGTGTACACATGCTTTTTTTTTTTTTTTAAAGCTGCCAACTGTGTGGGAGGGGTGACAAGACGGTTCGTCTAGTAAAGTTCTTGCTCCCATGCCTGGTGACCTGTCCTAGTGTGAGTTTTGTAGCCGTGTTAAATGCCATGGCCCAAATCAACCTGGAAATGGGCTGATTTCACTTAGCACTTTGTATGCCATCATTGAAGTGAGCCAAGAGCTGGAGAGGGGAGCTGATGCAGAGGCCAAGGAGGAGTGCTGCATGCTGGCTTGCTTCCTCTGGTTTGTTCGGCTACTTTTCTCTTACAGTCCAGGGCCACCTGTCCAAGGACGGCACTGCCCACAGTGGACTCGCAACAATCAGCAATCAAGAAAATGCCCCAAGGACATTCCCACAGGCCAATCTGTTGGAGACAATTCCTTAATTGAAATTTCCTCTTCCCAGATATATCAACATTGTGTCAAGTTGACAAAAACCAACCAGCACATGATCTTAGCTCAGGTTCCCGCAGGACAGAAGGAGAGAATCAACTCCTGCATAGTGTCCTTTGACCGAAACGGGAATGCCATGCATGCACATACACATGGCCACACAGAAGCACACACATGTGCGTGTGCGCACACACATACACACACACACACACACACACACACCAATATTCCTGCATGATAGGAGAGAACCAATTCCTGCATGTTGACCTTTGACCTTAACACAAACGCCATGCATGCACATGACCACACATGCACACAATAAACAAACAAATAAAAATATAAAAATAAGTACAAACAATGCAAAAATCAAGTATTGGTTTTGTGGGAAAGAGAGGAGTCAGTTTCTGTTCACACAGAGGAACAGTCCTCGAGAAAGCAACCGAGCACAGAAGGTCGGTTGTTAAGACGGAGGGGGATCCAGGAGGATCTGGTGGAAAAGTTCCGGGGCTATCGTGTGCCGGTTCCCAGGCTGTGCACTGCAGAGATCCAGGAGACAAACCCATTACAGACTGGGATTTGAATCATCCCTGCAGCTAGAGAACAGGGAGGTCTTGAGAGTCCAGGTCAAGAGAGAACTGAACCCCTGGGACCGTAGGGGTGGATTCTTCTTCCTGCTGTATGCCTTTCTGTGCTTTGAATTGTGTATAAGCCAGTTCACCACTAATCATGGGCACTCAGCCCTTCCCGCCGGTGGGAGCTCGGGATGGGCTTTCAAGCAACCGTGTGTTTCTCAATTTCTAACACAAATGCCTGTTCTTCTTTCAAAGGGCTGAACTTTAACTCTGTCTGAATTGAAAACCCTGCAGGAAACCATCAGAAGCCACACCCCACAGGGCACCATCCTCCAACGCCCCAAACACCCAAGGATGAGAAGCACCAAGGAAAACGGCCCAGGTCAAGGAGACAGGGGTAAGTAACACTGGGGTCAAGCCAGTGCTTTCTGAACATACCAAAGGGGGGGCGGTTGGCAAGGCTTGGTTTTAATGTCCAATCCTCCCGTCTTTCAGGTACATCAACACACTTTCCACAAGGGGCTGACAAGAGGCCAGACACACTTAAAGTCACACTTCCTCACCAGGTACAGACAGACTTGCCAGCTCTGGAAGGGACTCCTGAAGGCAGCTTTGGGGTCTGGGGAGACATCAGAAACCTTGCTGGTGTCTTCACTGTACCCAAGCCTCCCGCTGATCAGGCACCCTGCTTGGCTGGCTGGTCAGACCTGGCCCAACAGGAGGCTATATCCACTCACTCCCTAGACTGGTAGTGGGGGTATTAGCTGAGGAAAGAGAATGCACAGACCTGGCCAGCTTGGAGGGCAGGGCACTTGGCTACTCCACTCCTGCAGCGGACCCCACAGATACCCAGCCTCGCTCAGACAAGGATTCTTTACGACTTGTTCCCCACCCTACTCAGAACCAACGCCCAGAATCTGGCCTCAGCTCAGAGCTCAGGAAAACCCCTGTCCTATGAGAAAGTGAAGGACATTACATGTCACTCCTTCCTGTCGCTGGACACCAGCCCCCTAACAGAAAGATACATGAGGTCGGTTGAGCTGCCACAGGGCACATGCGTAAAGTCTAGGTCCTACTTGAAAACAACTCAAGCTGGTGCCAGTTACCCTGCTTCCCTGGGTACGAGCCCCTGCCAGGGATAAATGCATCATCCATTCGTGTTTCAAAAAACTGCCAGCTATACCTTTAAGAGTGGACTGTGAACCCTGCCAAGTGCCAGGGCGTTACACCAGAGATGACAAACGGGGGGAAAGGTGACGGCAGAAGGGTGCGAGAGGGCAGCCTCCAGGCCTTCCCTTCTGCACATGAGCAGGCTAACAGCAGGAGGAAGCACCACCCTTAAGGCCTTTGCAGGGCAAGATCAGGACTCCAGGAGTCTATAACCTCAGAAAGATTCCGAGGCAAAGCCCAGCCCAAACCTTGGCTGCTCCCATTCTCATGAAAAAGTCAGTGTTTGGAGGCAGCTGGGTTTGTTGTAAATCTCAGCTGAACTCTTCACCCCAAGGTGAGTCAGGAAAAAAAATCTCTGAACCTGATTCCTTTCTCCTTTTCTGTAAACAGGGAGACGATGGTTATCTCATCAGCTGATGCTGAAGACTGAACATGTTAACTAGATCTAGTCTTTGGCACAACACAAGCATCAAGCAAGTTCATTTCGTCACATGAGTACCGCATGTTTCTCCTAAACATTTCCGATTTGGAAGTGAGGAGTGTAATCATCATATCTAGTGGTGGTGGTGGGGAACACCCCACCACAGGAACGGCCCAGAAAAGTAGCGGCAAGCACATCACCGCTGTTTGGCCAGCCCCAAAACCCTGTCTGTGTAAACAGAGGCTGTGAGCTGCCAAGAATCTTCTTTACATGCTTGGCTCACGAAAACCCCCAAAGCCTGAATTTGGAAGCTTCCCAGTCGATCTCATTAGGAATGTGACCTGTGCCCTGGCCTTGGCTGGAAAGGCCACCGGACTCTACAGCCTAATCTTTGATGATAGGTGAGACAGACTTAAAACAGGTTCTCCTCACTGGGAGGGGGGGAAGGAAGGGCTGCAGGACAGGCGCTGCAGAGGTGGCTGCCACCAGCTCAGGGCAAGCAGGGCTACCCACTTCTTCCTGTGGGTTCTGTCTCTTTCGTCAGACCGGTTTGGATGCAGTTTCATTTCTCTCTCACTCCCACATACAGCATCGCAGTTTTTTTCCCCCCCCCCCACCCCAACCCTTTCTCTCTCCAGATACACCCAGGATGTCCAGGGATGCTGCTGCAGGTGACGGTTTGAGCCATGGTCCAAGCCTACCTACCAGACACGCCTAAGAATCCAGATGCAAAGCACGCACGAGAAAGGATGTACAGCGCCAGAGGAGAAGCCCGACCACCTTGCAAAAACTTAGAACCGGAAAACAAGGAAGGTAAACTTCCCAGGGCTGGAAACCGTGCCCTCCTCTACTCCAGACAGGCGACTACCAGCTTTCTGCCACCCCTCTCTCCCCCCACCCTCCAAGAGGAGCAGGCTGAGAAACCCAAAGCAACATCTTCAGAAATGAAAGTGGTTAACCTAGAATATCTAACTGGATGGCCTCCCTGGCTAACACCAGGGACTGCCCAAAGCTTGTTGGCCAGCCTGCTGAGCCATGGATACTCACCGGATTTTAACCTCAGCTCCCCGAGGCAGCCATAGGCATCCGTCAGCTTGCCATACTGTCCTTTAATGACTTCCTTCTCTTCCGGAGCTGGGGGGGGGGGGAGAAACAGATCAGAGAGACATCAGCAAGCAAGTGGCTCTGTTCACGCTTGTTCATTCACACTGCGCTTGCCAATCTGGCTCTCACCCACGCGAGAAAGGAAACGCAGACAATAGCACGGCCCACAGACACCATGTGTACAGGTTTTAGGATCCGAGAATCAGAAATGCAAAGATTTAGACCTTCCCACGGAAGGCTTGTTCTTTGGAAATACTGGCAGTTTCAGGTGTGCTGGGGGCGGGGAGGGTGAGGAAGGTGCAGGGAGCCCTAGGGTGGATGGTGGTGCTGGGCACCTTGGGTCTGGCTGCTACCTTAGTCAGAACAGGGTGAGGTCTCATAATCCATGTGCGATCCAGGCATTTTTTTTAAGTGCCAGCCACAGAAACTTTATCGGGTAAATCCCCAAGACACCTGCTTCTAACTAGGCATCATCAGACCACACGGGTCAGGGTGACTCAGGGCTGGGGCAAGTGAGCCCCAAGGCAAGCTGCAGCATGCTAGTCACCTATTGGGTGACTAGCAATGATGTCAGTACCCAAACAAAGTCCCAGCCTGGCTTAGGAGCAAGAAGGAAGGTGCATAGGGACACCCATTGGGATGCTATAGACATGCGTCTCAGGGATTCCAGGAGGGGGAGCAGTCTACGGATGGATCTTTTCTCATAACGATGCTCCAACTGCATTGAGAACAATACACAGACCCGAATCACTGTGACATCACTACACTCTGTGAGAGACGTGGTCACTAAAGACATCACAAATATCCCATGTGCATAAAATATCCAGAGCAGGTGAACAGAGAGCAGACTCAGGGGTGGCAGGGGCTGAGCATGGACAAAGGAGCATGGGGGTTTGTTAATGGGGTCTCTTTTAAAAGGGGACAAAAACACTCTAAAATTGGATTGTAGGGATGGTCAGATAACCCTATAAATACTAAAATACTTTTAAAAACCATGGAACTATATACTTTCTGAAATCAGTTGTGTGGTATATGAATTACATTTCAATAAAGCTGGTATAAAATCAACAACAAAGTAAGATGGAAGAGGGCACTAATTTTACTGGAATCTAGTTATAAATATTGAAAAGTAGATTTATTTCTTATTGTATGCATGTATTGTGTGCATGTAATGTATATGTATTTGCATCAGTGCATGTCTGGCACCAGTGGAGGTCAGAAGAGAGCATTGGATTTCCTGGAATTGAAGTTACAGGTGGCCGTGAGCCACCTGTCCTTTGCAAAAGCAGCAAGTGCTCTCAACCGCTGAGCCTTCTCTCCAGCCCACAGTTAGTGAAATATTTTACCTTCTGAAGTCCTTGCCTAGCACGAAGGGTTTGAGTCCTAGCAACACACACAAAAACTTGCTATAATGTAACAATATATATTCCTTATGGACAATATCTTTTTTTTTTCTTTTTGAGACAGGGTTTCTTTGTAGCTTTGGAGCCTATCCTGGAACTAATTTGTGTAGTCTAGGCTGGCCCCGAACTCACAGAGATCCGCCTGCCTCTGCCTCCTGAGTGCTGGGATTAAAGGTGTATGCCACCATGGCCCAGCCGGACAGTATCTTTTTAAAAATACTTATTTTACATTTATTTTGTGGGGGTGGCACACGCCACATGACATATGTGGAAATCATAGGATAACCTGCAGGAGTGCTTCTCCCCTTCCAACCTGTAGTGTGGGGACTGAACCCAGGCAGGCAGGGTTAATGGCAGGTGCCTTTACCTGTTGAGCCATCTCATTGGCCCTATTAGCATCCTCTTAAATAACAAAATCTAAACTGGGAGTGAAGGCTCACACCTGTAATCCTAGCACTCAGGAATTGAGGCAAGAGGACTCACAGAAGTCAGCCAGGCTGCAGAGTGAGACCCTGTTTCAAAACAGCCAAAGTAACAGTAATAATAATGACAAAGAAATAAAACCAATCAGGGCCTATTAATCACTTAATTTCGAATATGTAAAGAGAAATAAATGATATTAAGATTTCATGTGAGGTAGAAGTGACTGCCATTTCTCTCGGTGACTGATGTGGGTAACAAGTTGATCCAGCTGCCTCCTTCCTGGGGGCAAAGCTGGCTTTCAGCTACCAGGTCACTGTAAAGGTGGTTTTTTCTTGTCCAGAAGCTCCAAGGCCTCCCATGATAGGCTGACGGTAGAAGCTGGCAGGATCTGTCTCTACATCACTGCATCATCACCGAAGTGGGAAAAGAAACTGTGGGTTTGTCCTCCCAAGCACCAGGAAGGGTTCCCAGGGTTCACCAATCTCCAGAAAGAACTGAGATCCTAGAATGGAGTGTGTGAGAAAGAGACAGACACAGAGTAAGGACAGCAAATGATACACCCTCACACCAGCCCTGGGCACAGACAAGCTGGGAACAGTCTGGCCATCATGGCTTTCTCTCCTCTGAAGACGTCCACAGAAAACAAGGGAGTGCACAGAGCACTGGCAAACACCACACACACTGAACCTAGTTTTAGCTGACACTTGTCCTGACTAGGTCAAAGTATCCACTAGCCATATTCTCCAGAGCAGATTGGACTTCCTATCCCTCTCAGCTGGCCCTCTAAAGAACACACACATCCATGAGACCACATGTCCTTACAAGTTAGAAACACAGAACTGGGTCCAGTCCCAGTGCCACCTGCTCACTATGCTTCCTGCCCCCCCACTTTTCTCAAGTTGGTCCTGGAAGCAGTGTGCGGTGGTTTAAAAGAAAATGTCCCCCAAAAGGAATGGCACTATAAGAAGGTGTGGCTTTGTTGGAAGAAGTATGTCACTGTGGAGGCGGGCTTTGAGGTCTCATATATGCTCAAGCCACACCCAGTGTCTCAGACTACTTCCTGTTGCCCGAAAAGATGTAGGACACTTGGCTACTTATCCAGACCATGTCTGCCTGCATGCCACCGTGTCACACCATGATGATAATGGACTAAACCTCTAAACATGTAAACCACCCGAATTAAATGTTCTCCTTTATAAGAATTTCCATGGTCATGGTGTCTCTTTACAGTAACAGATACACTAAGACACAGTGGGAGGCTACCAGGTTCCCCTTGGCAGAACCTGTGACCCTTACTAAATAGGACACAAGGATTTCAGGACTGGTGGCTGGTGGGATGGACACCTGGAGTAAGGTCAAAGACAGACCCTCCATCTCTGCAGACAGGATGGAGCCAGGAAGCTATCTGAAAATGAAGGCTGAGCAGAGCAGTGGTGGTGTATGACTTTAATTCCAGCACTCAGGAGGCAGAGACAGGTGGATCTCTGTGAGTTCGAGGCCAGCCTGGTCTGCAGAGCGAGTTCCAGGACAGGCTCCATAGCTACAGAGAAACCCTGTTTCAAAAAACAAAACAAACAAACAAACAAACAAAAAAGAAATTGAAGACTGGCTGCCATCATGACTGAGAAGCAGCAATAATAGCCTATTGTACTTTGTTGTGTCAGGCAGCAGGGAGACTCAGTCCAGTACAGCCAAAAGCCTGAGGTCTCCCCTTAGGGACCTTCACTCAGGTAAAGCCAGGGCCTTGACTATGCCTGAAGAAGAGACATTCAGAGTGAAGCAAAGTTAGAGAATTGATTAGGTGAAGCCACGGGCAAGTAGGTGTTTTCACAAACATCAGCACTTAGAGAGAGAATGTCTTAGAAAAGGACAGAACACGCTCAACCAAGACACAGGCTGGGGCTTCTCAGGAGGGAGAGCTGCTCTTAGATATCATCTTCACGAAGGCTAGATAAATGATTTTGTAGCTTGTAAGTCATAGGACTCAGACTGTAATTTACAAGGTTTGAAGATTAAGCCAAGTTTGATACTCCTTTCTCATCTTAAAGAATTACCTTTTGTAGATGGCTCAGCAGTTGCAGACACTTGCCACCAACCCCAACGACCCAAGTGTAGACCCACACGGTAGAAGGAAAATCAATTCCAGGAAGTCGTTCTCAGATTCCCACACGTGTCATGGCATATGGACACACTCACACACATATATACATACACACAAGTACGCACGCACACATGTATGTACACACATGCACAAAAGAATGTAACAACGTTTCTTTAAAAGGAATGGCCTTTTGTAAACTAAATTGCAACGTGGATTTGTAAGGTGTTACTTGGATTCAGAGGGTAAAACCGTAGTGGGAGGCTGAGCTACGCCATCTCGTGAAAGTATTCCTAACAATACCCTAAATACAAGAACCACCTGGGGTAAACTGGTCTCTGGCCACGAAGCCATAAATTCCTCAAGCAAACTGGCCTGTGAACCAGCCATAAATTCCTACACAAGGGGTCCCTGACTCGGATGAGAAGGGCCTGACCACTACAAACGCTCGCCTGCTGCAGACATCCGCAGCTGCCTCTCTGTGTGTGTCACGGTTGAGGTTCCTGCATTTGAGAACAAACCAACTGGAGGTGGCGGTTGCTTCCCACTCCTCGCCTTGCGGAACTGGGAATAAAGCCCCATCTACTCCGACTTACTCAGAACTCTCAGGCTTTTTCTGCAGGTACCCCATAACAAAACTCAAGGCTACAAATTTTTCGGCCCCGGTAAGTACAGTCTGTTGCTTTAACAACCTTGTTAGAATAGCAGAAAAATAAACACTCTGTCTTCGGACAGCTTAGATCTTATCACAATAATTGAGTTACTGAGTCAGGACTGCTTTTCTGTATCCTTGTACTTGTTCCTCAAACCCAGCTCTGATTATTTGTGGTTTTTCCCTGTAAGACGTCAGATGGCTATAGTCAACCGCTGTGGCTTTGCTGTCTGTTTTGTGGCTTTTTTGTTTAAAGACGCCTTATTGAATATGCATTATTGATCAAGTCACATTGAATGCACAGCCACTGGCAGAAGAGGTCCAATCAGAATAAAGCTTATTATACACAAGTGATTTTCTCCAAGGGATAT